AGAACATTGGTCCATATACGTCTGCCCATTGTTGCTCTTCAAAGGATGTGTCTGTGTTCGTGATGTTAGTTTTGAAAATACTGAGATAACATTTCTACTTGAGAGTCAACTGAGTCTAGAGTGATTCTTCCTATTGATTGCTCGTGATTTTGATTATTGAGGGGTCGAATGGAATAGGGTTCTCGGGATATTTGAGAGGCATTGGGTGGATTTGGCTGGGACTGCATGGATTCAATGAATTGTTGACTTGCTTGCTCGGTTTCTTGGGACACGGCCTGACCCTTCAATGTCTTTGGCTTTTTACGCCTCCACTTGGACTTTCCTCCTTCTCCCTCATAGCCTCTCATTGTCGGGCCTGTCCACAAAGGGCTATGTGTATCATGGACATGTGATCTGATTTTTGTAATAACACACATGGGATTACTCACAGGCCTATTTCCAGCAGGCAATTAGCTTAGATATTTCACGTCAGGGGGTTCTGGACAAGGTGGCAACTGAAGAGATGAAGAATTCCTATTTCATATGATTTTTCATGATTTTTCATGTCAGTGCGATACATTGCAATACTACTCATCATATAGATAGACTCCACAATAGGGGTCCCTCAACTGCACATAGACTGACACAAAGCAATTTCCCTGTGTGTGAGAGGTGTTTTAAATCAGTGGAAGTCAACTGCTGTCCTGGATCACATTGATCACTCATGAAATGTGAGGAGCATACATACAATGTGCAGAGGGGTGGCGGTAGTCACTTGGCAGTACGGGCCTTGCAGAACAATAGATTTGACAAATGATGTCCCTGGTCAATACAACACCTAAAAGTCAGTGACAGTCACTTGGTGTCCTGGATCACATTGATCACTGGTGAAATGTGAGGAGCATCCATACAATGTGGAAAGGGGTGGGGGTAGTCACTTGGCAGTACAGCAATAGATTTGACAAATGACGCCCCTGTCCAATACGACACCTAGACTGTTCAAATTGATTGAAGTCAGTGAAAGTCTCTTGCTGCACTTTGGTCTATTAACCACTTATGAAATGATGAACCAACATACATATTATGTGCAGAGTGGGGGGGGGGGGTAGTAACTTGGCAGTACAGGCCTTGCTGAGTGATAGATTTGACAAAAGACGTCCCTGGTCAATACAACACCTAGACTGTTCAAATTGATTGAAGTCAGTGAAAGTCTCTTGCTGCACTCTGGAAGGTTAATCCTATTAATAACTTATGAAATGATGAAACAACATACATACTATGTGCAGAGTGGTGGGGGTAGTCACTTGGCAGTACAGGCCTTGCTGAGCGATAGATTTGACAAAAGACGTCCCTGGTCAATACAACACCTAGACTGTTCAAATTGTTTGAAGTCAGTGAAAGTCTCTTGCTGCACTCTGGATGAAATGAGGACAAGTGATAAATATTTACTTACCTCGCAATGTGTCTGGGGAGGTGTTTGTGATGGCCGATTTATTTGGGTTGGTCGGTCGGTAGTAGAGGGTGCTGGTGTAGGGTCCTGACTTTGGTTGAGTTCTGTCATGAAAGTCCGCTGGATCACAGGCAGATTTGGTGGGGGGCTCCAGCTGAGTGCCAGGGGGCCTAATCTCCCCCCCAGGGAAGTCAGGACTTGAGCAGCCACAATCTGATTGCTCCTGAAACCTTCCTGACTTTACTCGATTCTATTCTGGCTCCTTTGGCTTGATCACTCACTTCACTGGTGTGTGGCTTCATTTCCTACTCATCTGCACTACCTTGCTATCTCACTATCCTGATTGATCGTAACTTCTCATCTGAATCAACTCATCAGTGCTGGTTCGATTCCATTGGGTTTCTTCGACTGGAAGTCTTCATCAACGCAAACCGACTAGCATCTCAAGTTATTTGACTCGACAAGCGCTTTTTTGCTTCCATCCAGCTTATTCAACTGTGAGCGTTCATCAACTCAGCTTCAATTCAATCTTCAGCTAGGCCCCCTATCTGACCTCATCAACCCAAAGCCAGTAGTTCAATCCTCAGCTGTTGTTTGGTTGATTCGCTTGCAACGACCACAATCCGCTCGCTTGGTATCTTTAGGTTGCCGATTCGAAGGGGTCTTACGCCTCCAATTGAGGTGAGTATCTCTGGTTATCTTTTATTTTAATCTACCAACACCAACACCACCCCGTTCGTTATCCTCATCAATGATCGTTCTCGAAGCTCTACATAGCCACTCCGCTCGCTTGGTATCTTTAGGTAGCCGATTTGATGGTCTCGTATGCCTCCGATTGAGGTGAGTGTCTGTGGCTGTCTTCTATTTGAATCTACCAACGCTGACACCACCCCGATCGTTATCCTCATCAACAATCATTCTCGAAGCTCTACATAGCCACTCCGCTCGCTTGGTATCTTTAGGTAGCCGATTCAACGCGGTCTTACGCCTCCGATTGAGGTGAGTGTCTCTGGTTGTCTTTTATTTGAATCTACCAACGCTGACACCACCCCGATCATTATCCTCATCAACGATCGTTCTCGAAGCTCTACATAGCCACTCCGCTCGCTTGGTATCTTTAGGTCGCCGATTCAACGCGGTCTCACGCCTCCGATTGAGGTGAGTGTCTCTGGTCAATTGCTACCAATCAATTCAGCTTCATTCATCAGATTGATCGATCACAATCTCTACAGCTTGATTGATCCCATTCTCAACTTCATAATCACTTCAAACACACGATTGAACCTGTTCTCATCAGCAT